GTGACTTCCTGTCCCACCCACAAATTAATCTGCATCCATTAAATGTTCAAGCAGCTCCTTCCCCCTCACAGTGATTGGCTCAGGCAGCGTCAGTCATACTTGGGGCAGCTCTCCCCCACCACTCAGAGTGATGGGCTCAGGCTCTCTGCAGACTCAGGCAGCATTGGTCACACCTGGAGCAGCTCCCCCAGCGCCTACAGGATGGCTCTGAGCCCCGTGGAGGAGCTGGGGCCCTGGACACTCACTGTCATAACCTCTTCCCTTGCAGCTGCCTTGTCTGCTCCGAGTCTAGTCACCAGCTCCTGGGGGGCAGCGAGGAGGAGAAGCTGCCGCAGCAGGAAAGCACTGGGGCTGCAGGTGAGCTGAGCACAGGGCAGGCGTCCCTGCCCCTTGCACTGACAAGCCAGCTGGGGCCGCAGGAGCAGCCGGGGACACCCTAACTAGCTCTTGTAAACCCAGCTCAGCCTGGGGGTTCCTGCAATGACATGCAACAAAAGGAGGCTGAGCTGGGCCCAGAGCCACAGGCACCAGCAGATCTGGGGAGAGAACCCAGGACTCCTGGCGTCCAGCCCCCCACCCCCACCCCCCACACTCTGACACACCAGACCCCACTCCCCTCCCAGAGCCAGGGGAGAACCCAGGAGTCCTGGCTCTGACTCCCTCCCCCCCCCGCTGCTGTCACCCACTGGACTCCCCTGAACTCATGCAAAAGGGCACTGGCTCCCTGGTGCAGGCCAGGGGGAGTGTCAGTCTGGGATTTAAAGTGCCCCCAAACTGGCAAGTGGTAGTGGTGGGGGATTTGGGGCAGAGGGATTGGGGGTAACGGTGTCTCTCCCCCAGCCAGTGAGTGGCAGAGGGATGGGCATGGGGGTTGGGTCTGGGGGACCAGGGTAATGGTCTCTCTCCCCCAGCTGGCAAGTGGTGGAAGGATGGGGGGGGGGGCGGCTTGGGGCAGGGGGACCAGGGTAACGGTGTCTCTCCCCCAGCCGGCAAGTGGTGGAGGGATGGGGGTTCGGGGCAGGGAGACTGGGAGTAACGGTGTCTCTCCCCCAGCCAGTGAGTGGCAGCGGGAGCAGGGCCGTTTCCTGGCCATTAACTTGACCTGCATGAGCAGTGCCTGCCCCAAGAGCCCCGATGGCCTCTCGCCCAGCGCCCACCTAGCCGACGGCACGGCCGACCTCATCCTGGTGCGCGAGTGCTCAGCCCTGGGCTTCCTGCGTCACCTGAGTCGGCACATGGACCATCGGGACCAGGTGTGTGGGGGGGTAGACCCCAAGGGCCCAGGAAGGGGGCATGGGCCAGACCTGGGGGCACGGGGAGGGTGCACAAGCCTGGAGTCACAGCCATGGGGAAGGGAGATGGTGGGAACAGGGTCCATGGGTCAGCATGCAACAGGTTGGGGGAGTTGTAACGCTGAGTGGGAGGGGGGCAGGCTCGAGCAGTCACTGTGGGGGTCGCACCCTAGCCATTCTGGGTCCGGCCCCCAGGGGGCTCCAGCATCAGGGGAGCAGCTGACCTTCACTGTGGGGGGATGGGGCATGGGGCTGTCCCTCCCAGCGAGGCTGGGTCATGACCCCCAGGAGGGGCAGGGAGAGGCCCCTGGAGCTGGGTCCCTCCCCAGGCCTCACGCTCAGTCCAGCACCCCTCTTCCCTCTGCAGTTTGACCTGCCCTTTGTGAGTGTGCACCGGGTACGGGCCCTGCGCTTCACCCCCAAGCAGCTGGAGGACAGCGAGGAGGGGGAGCAGCCCAGCCGCAGGGGGTGGAAGGGGCTTCTAGGGGGGCTGTGCTGTGGGGAGCAGCCACTGAGCTCCTGGAGCTGTGACGGGGAGACCCTGCCCCACGCCAACATCAGTGTCAGGTGAGTGTCCGTAGCCCCATGGAAGGGAGGGGAGGGGGAAATGCTCCAGAGCAGGCCATGTCCATGCCATGAAAACCACTTGACAATGGCATGCAGGGCTCCCCCCCATGGCATTATGGGAGCTTCCCAAAGGATTGTGGGAGTTTGGTCCCTTTCTGCCCTCTAGGATTGTTGTAAGCAAGACACAAGCAGTAATTCTTCTGCTTCACTCCATGCTGACAAGGCCTCAGCTGCAGGACCGTTTCCAGTGCTGGGCCCCACATTTCAGGAATGACCTGGGCAAACTGGAGACAGTCCAGAGAGCAAAACACTGATCCAAGGACTAGAAAACATGGACCTACGAGGGAAGATTGAAAAACCTGGGTTTTTTTTAGTGTGGAGAAAAGAAGATTGGGGGGGAGGGGGAACTGAGAAGCATTTTCAATTACATAAAAGGTTGTCATAAGGGGGAGGGAGAAAATTAATTCTCCTGCACCTCTGAGGGTAGGACAAGAAGCAATGGGCTTAAATTGCAGCCAGGGCAGTTTAAGTTGGACATTAGGAAGTTTTTCCTAAACAGTCAGGGTGGTTAAACACTGGAACAAATTGCCTAGGGAGGCTGTGGCGTCGCACTGGAGGGTTTTGAGAACAGGTTAGACGACCCCCTGTCTAGTTATTACACAGTGCTACCTTGAGAGTAGGGGCTGGGACTAGGTGACCTCTTGAGGTCCCTTCCAGTGCTACCCTTCTCCGCAGTCTAGGATCGCATTAGCCTTTCACAGCCATGTCACATTGGCAGCTCATAGTCATCCTGTGATCGACCATGCAGGTGTTTCTCCTCCTCTGTTGCTTCCAACCGGTCAGGCCCCAACTTGTAGCAAAAAGCCTTGGTGCTCGTCTCTGAGTGCAGGACCTGGCCCTGTGCACTATTACATTTCCTTCCATTTCTGTCACTCCCACTTTCCAGGCTGTCCTGTTGATACCATCTTTTGTCCACAGGGTGCACAGGCAGCTCATCCACCTGTTTGCCCGGGGCATCGAGCAGGGGATGGGCCTGGTTTAGGGGCTGCCTGGAGCTGCGTCCTGTGAGAGGGCTGTGCCCTCACCATCAGCGGAGACCAAGAGCCCAGCAGGGCAACAGAGATGCTGTGGTCTGCAGGGACAGCTGCGTGTCAGAGCCCTCTGTTTGCTCCCTGGCCCCCAGAGGGAGCTGTGCCATGCTGGGTCAGCAGTGGGGGGTCAAACCATCCGCACCTGGCTGGCTCCGAGGTGGGGTGGGGACAGGAGCGGGACCCGCAGTCCTCTGCAGCGACCTGGAGGCCCACCGCAGCCTGACTGGACAGTAGCCACCACTGCAGACGTTGTTTAACCAGGGCCACGTCTACGTTAGCTTACATTGGCACGAAGTCGCCGCAGTGATCACAGTCGGTGTAGTGGGGTGGTTACATTGGCAGGAGCCAAAGTTCAGTGTTGACACTTTGTTAGGTTGACGTAAGCGGCCTTGGGTCAACCTAACGCTGTAGTGTAGCCCAGACCCCGGGGGTAAGTGGAGACAGATATAATGTAGCTGGGGGAGTGGGAACGATGGGGGGCACATAGAGAACTTGGGTGGGGGGCTTCTAAAAAAGCAGCTCAGTCACAAATAAAGGGAGAACAGGTCCCGCTTGGCTGTGTTTGATTTCCACCAGGGGCATCCGGTGCCTTTGTGGTGGGGGTAGGCAGCAGGACATTCCCCGACAGGCTGCGGGGGTGGGGGGCAGCCCTGGGCACGGATGGAGACTGGCCTCTGCTTTAATGCCGATTCCCCCCCCCCGCGGCTATCACTAGGGCCGTCCGAGTTACCAGGCAACACCCAGCAGAGCTGGGTGGCAGGGCCACGCTCCGGTAACAAGCTGTCAGACCCCCAAAGGGCACATGACGCAGCAGCTGGACAGACAGAGCACGGGGCCAAGGCTGATTCCAACAATCTCTGTTTACAAAACGGCGCCATTTACAAAAGCCCCAGGGCTGTGGCGGGGCTGGAATGTCTCAGCAGCAAAGCAAGCAGAGTCCAGGGCGAGGTGGCGGCAGTCGGCCCCACCGAAGCCAGAGGCTCTCAGCTCCCTCAACCCAGTGTGGGGCCAGAGCCTAGGGCAGGGGCGGGGAGCGAGATGGGCTGTAAACACGACAGGCCGTGCCCGGCCCAGTTGTGGTCCCAGGATGTGGGTGGAGAAGGGGATCTAGGCCCAGTGCGGGGTAGGGACCTGGCTGGAGTGCATCTGGAGGGGGCAGGGAATCCAGACCCAGGGAGCTGTAGGGTATTGGAGGAAGGTGTAGATGAGATGGGTGGGGGGTTAGTGTCTGGGTGGGGGCTGTAGGAGACCTGGGTGAACTAGGACCTGGGCCCACTGGAGGGGGGTGGGGGGCCACAGAAATCGCAACCCATTTGGTTGTCCAGGACATATCCCCAGTGCCCAGCTCCACCCTCCCTGGCCTTCTCTGCCAGCCTCCCCCACCCTACCCAGCTCTCCCATCCCTGCCCTTCTCTGCCAGTCCCCCCCACCCCGTCCCCAGCTCCCCCAACCCTGCCTGTCTCTGCTGGCCACCCATACCCAACTCTCCCCTTCCCTCTCGGCCCCCAGCCACACGTCCCCACCCCAGGTGCCCCTGGAGGAGGGGGAGCAGCGAGCGGAGCAGATAGACCCCCCAGGGCGAGAAGCAGGGTTGCTCTGGGGAGGCAGCAGCTGGCCCCTGGCTCAGAGCTTGTGCGGATTCACCCAGCGGTAGGTGCCCTCGTACTGGAACCCGACTCTCTTCATCAGCTCGTCTGCCGCGGGTGGGCCCCGGCTGGGAAAGAGCAACACCCCCAGGTTAGTGCCCACAGGCAGCCCTGCCGACAAGTGTGGGGCACAGGGTCCTTACGGGAGGTGGGGTAGGGCAGCCCCCCCCCCCCCAGCTCCCCAATCATTCACCTCCTTCCTCCGCAGCTCCAGCCGGAGACTCGCCTTTCTAGAAGCTTAACTCCCATCTAAGTCAGGCTCATGCCCTGCCAGGCCCCACGGCATCTCTCCCTCTTCTCCGGTCAGGGTTAGGGCTCCTGCTGGCCCCACAGCACCCCCTGCCCAGTGCCCACCGTGCCTGCTGCCCAGCGCAGTGCCCTGGGGCCTCACCTGCCGTAGCAGTACGGGATTGGTTTGATCCTCTCAGACTCGATCTTGTGCAGCAG